GTAGGAGACAGCATGGTGGGCTTCCTGGCCCGGGAGAGAGAAAGCTGAGTGCCTTTGGGCAGGAGGCTTGCTCCTGGAGTAGAGTGCCTCTGGAGACTTACCCGCAGGGGCTAAAAGAGCTTTGTAACACTTCCCTGAGCAGGACAGAGGCTGAGGACCAGGGGGGTGTGCCTGCGAGCATGGCTGGGAAGAGGCTGTCCTGATGGAAGAACTGTATCCTGAGTGTTCCTGAACCTAAATTGTAACCTGTTACTTCCCTAATAAACCCAATAATTGTGAGTATTGTCTGTGAGTTCTGTGTGGTCATTGCAGTGAATTATTAAACCCAGCAGAGAAGTAGAGAGTGCCATGGGAGGGATGGTTGGTGTCAGAATTGGTAAAAATGGCAGAGAGAGGAGGCATGTCTGACCTGTGGCTTATAGGAATCAGCCTTGGGCTGTTAAATCTTGATTCCCCTTCTGTCTTGTGAAGTTAGGCCTCCTACTTTGTTCTTTTTTTTTCAGTAATGCTTTGCTTATCTGGGGCCTCTTTCCTTTCCATATAAAGTTGGTGGTTAGTTTTTCTATCTCGTTAAAGAATGCTGTTCATATTTGGATTGAGATTGCGTTGTATCTGTAGATTGCTTTAGATGGAATTGACGTTTTCACAATGGTGAATCTTCCTATCCTAGAGCGTGGTATGTGTTTCCATTTATATAGCTCTCTTTTGATTTCTTGCAATAGTGTTTTATAGTTTTCTTTGTATAGGTATTTTATGTCCCTGGTTAGATTTATTCCTAAGTATTTTGTTTTTTTAGAGCTATTATAAATGGTATTTTCTTGATTTCCTTTTCAAAATTGTCTTTTTTGATGTGTAGAAATCTAACCGATTTTTGTACATCTGTCTTGTATCTTGCTACTCTGCTGAATCTTTCTATTAGATCTAGTAGTTTTCTTGTGGAATCTTTGGGGTTCTCTATGTACTGTATCGTATCATCTGCAAATAGGGATAATTTCACTTCTTCCTTTCCAATTTGGATCCCCTTTATCTCTTTTTCTTACCTTATTGCTCTAGCTAGGACTTCCAGCACAATGTTAAATAGGAGCAGTAAAGGACATCTTTGTCTTGTTCTTGTCTCTGGGAATGCTTTCAGCCTGTCTCCATTTAGAATGATGTTGGCTGTTGGTTTTGTATAGATGCCTTTTATTAAGCTGAGGAATTTCCTTTCTATTCCTATTTTATTGAGAGTTTTTTAATCAGGAATGGGTGTTGGACTTTATCAAATGCCTTTTTTGTATCAATTGAGATAACAATGTGATTCTTTTGTTCTATTTATATGGTGGATTATGTTGATTGATTTTCTAATGTTGAACCATCCTTGCATACCTGGTCTGAATTCTACTGATCATGGTGTATTATTTTTATATAATGCTGAATTTTATTGGCTAGAATTTTGTTGAAAATTTTTGCATCTATATTCATGAGAGATTGGGGCATAATTTTCTTTTTTTGTAGTGTCTGCCTGTCTTTTGTATCAGGGTTATGCTGGCTTCATAGTATGAATTTGGGAATATTCCTTCCTTTTCTATGCTCTGAAATAGTTTGAGTAGTACTGGTGTGAATTCTTCTCTGAATGTTTGGTAGAATTCTCCAAGGAAGCTATCTGGGCCAGGGCTTTTTTTGTTGGGAGGTTTTTTTTTTGTATTACTTCTTCAATCTCTTCTCTTGTTATGGGTCTGTTCAGATTTTCTGTGTCAGGTTTGTGTTAGTTTAGGTGGGTAGTGTGTTTCTAGAAATTTATCCATTTCCTCTAAGTTCTCAAATTTGTTGGAGTACAATTTTTCATGGTATTTTGTTATGATTCTTTTTCTTTCAGTTGGGTTTGTTGTAATGTCCCCCATCTTGTTTCTTGTTTGGGTTATTTGCTTCCTCTCCTGTTTTTGTTTTGTCAGTTTGGCCAGTGGTTTGTTGATTTTGTTATCTTTTCAAAGAACCAACTTTTGGTCTTTCTATTGTGTTTCTGTCTCTTTCATTTATTTCTGTTCTAATATTTATTATTTCCCTTCTTCTGGTACCTTGGGCTTGTTTTACTGTTCTTTTTCTGTTTGTTGAAGTTGTAGCGCTAATGTTTTGATTTTGATCCTTTATTCTTTTTTGATATATGTGTTGATTGCTATAAATTGATCTCCGAGCACTGCATTTTCTCTGTCCCAAAGGTTTTGGTATGATGTGTTTTCATTCTCATTTAATTCTAGGAATTTTTTTTCTTGGAATTTTTTTGATTCCCTCTTTGATTTCTTCTATTACCCAGTTGTTTTTAAGCGAGATGTTACTCAGTTTCCATGTATTTGATTTTTTCCCTGCTCTTCCTAGTTTTTGATTTCTACTTTTATGGCATTGTGATCAGAGAGAATGCTTTGTATTATTTCGATGTTTTGGATTTTATCGAGCGTTACTTTGTGGCGTATTTGGTCTATTCTGGAGAATGTTCCATGTGCGTTGGTAAAGAACGTATACTTTGCTGCTGTTGGGTAGCATGTTCTATATATGTCTATGAGCTCAAGTTGTTTTATTGTGGCCTTTAGATTTTCTGTATCTTTGTTGAGTTTCTTTCTAGATGTCCTGTCCATTACTGAGAGTGGTGTGTTGAAGTCTCCTACTGTTATTGTGGAGCTGTCTGTTTCTCTTTTTGATGCTGTTAGAGTTGATGTATTTTGGAGCCCTGTCGTTGGGTAGGTACATTTTTATTAGAGTTGTATCTTCTCGGTGGATTGTCCCTTTAATCATTATAGAGTGTCCTTCCTTGTCTTTTATGGTGTATTTTGCCTTAAAGTCTATTTATCTGAGATTAGTATTGCCACTCCCACTCTCTTTTGGTTACCGTTTGCTTGATACGTTTTTTTTCCATGCTTTGATTTTTAATATTTTTATGTCTTTGCGTCTAAGGTGTTTTGTACACAGCATATTGACGGGTTGTGTTTTTAATCCATTCTGCCACTCTGTCTCTTTAATCAGTTTACATTCAGTGTGATTATTGGTAGGTATGAGTTTATTGTTGTCATGTTGTGCTTATTTTTTGTGGTGCTGATGTTTTCTTTGTTTCTCTTAAACTTTCTTGTGCTGAGTTCTTTTGTTTGTGGAGTTTCTTTTCTTTCCTTTTGTTACTTTAGATTTTGTATTTATCGAGTCTTTTTTTTCTTTTTTCTTTTGTTAAGTAGGTTTGTTAACTCTCTTTGTGGTTACCTTGAAATTTACCTATATCTTCCTAAGTTTGAACCAGTTTTTTATTACTTGATATCTGGAGTTCCTCTCCATTTGAAAGTTCTATAGCTACACCATTTATTCCCCCTTTTATTGTTTGACATTGTTATCATTCACAGATTGACATCTCTGTTTCCCTGTTTTAAGTATTTTAGCTTTGTTTTATTATTGAGCAGTTTCTTCTTCCATTTTGTGTTTGATCTAGTTCTTTATCCCTTCGTTTGATGCTTAGGGTTCCAAGATTGACATTTTTATCTGTTTTACTTAGTTTTTCAGGTCTTTGCTGAAGAGGGACGGTATGATGCGTCTGTCTAGGGCACCATGTTGGCTCTGCCCTATTTTTTTTAAATTTGAGTATGATTGGACAAATGATAAATTTAAGAAGGATTGATTTCTTCTTAACACACATTTCAACATACATGGGGTCACCATGAGTCAGAATTGTATTTGGCTTTATCATCTTGGGAAAACTTAAAAATATTAGTTATGTGTAACACCCACATCACTGAATGGATTCCCTTGACACCACGTTTTACTGAACATGAAATGCACCATTATTTTATACACAAGTAAAAATTAGAAAATTGAAGACAAAGATCCCTGACACAGTGTTATGGTTCATTGAATATAAGGTGAGTTCCAGTTTACAGTCGTGTTAAAGGTGAAAACACACATCCTCCAGTTGATGCAATACAGTGGGTTACCTATTTAACCGTCATGGGTTTTCCAGGTTTATTTTTCTCATGTTCTGCTTTTATATTTTAAATCCCTTCCATTTAATTTCTTTGTGAATATATCGTTATCTTTTTACCTTATGGAGTTGACTCTATTTCCCTGCTGCCTAACTCCAGTAAAGTATCAGTTCCTTCTTTCTAGCTGATGTAGGTGGAATTTTTTTTTTTAATTTGTTGATTTTTGTGGTTTTCTTTAGACAATCTCAGGGGTTTTTTTTTGTTTTTGTTTTTTCCCCATAACTGTTGGCTCTTTATTTCCTGGGTGTGGTGTCCTCCCCTGTTGCTCGAAAGATATTGATTAGACATTTTTCTTTTCCCTCGAAATCACCTTTGGCTTCCTTAGAGTCAGACCCTTCAGTGACTGTCTTTGTGGTGCCACTGTCCTCTAATTCTGGCACTTGGTTATTGATTTGACAGTCCATGCTGGCTTGGCAAATTCTGCGGGAGCCAGGTGTTTACTCATACCTGATAGGCGTTGCCAGGTCCCAAGGCCCTGGCCTTGCTGTTTGCCCACAGTGTTCCCATCATCCTGGGAGGAGAATGTGTCTCTGCCTTTGCTGCGTCCTGGGGGATTAGAGCAGGCTCCGTAACTCTGCTGCCTCCATGCAGGACTTGTTGAAATCAAGCAGCATCAAAAATGTATTTGCAACACCCGTTTTCATTCCAGTTCTTTGTATCTGATAAGAAAACAATATCTTAGCAGACTGCGTGTCTATTCCAGTGTTTTCTGAAGGATGATTTTGTCAGTCTTTACTCTGCCCCAGAATCTGCCCAATATCACTAAAAATAATGATCTTTAATGATGTGAGCATAAGTATATATCAGTTGTTGTTGTCTCACATCATATTTTGAAAGCACATCAGATTGTATTGCCTTGATGATTATCATCTCCCACAAGAGTGCCAGGTTCCTGTGGTTCAGAATCCTATGAATAAGTGAAGTACTCCAGGCTGGGAGCTTCCCTGCATCTTCCTGCACACACTGGAGAGATGGTGCCTTGTTGAAACAGTATGTGGACTCTTTCAGGACTCAGTGGTCTTTGAGGAAGTGGCTGTGAACTTCACCCGGGAAGAATGGGCTTTGCTGAATGCTGCTCAGAGGAAGCTCTACAAGGATGTGATGCTGGAAACCTTCCAGAACTTGGCCTCAGTAGGTAAGGATGGCATCATTTCTTCACTTAATCTTTTGTGGAACAAATACATCTTCCACATGGTCGTTTTTTACTTGGGCTGAGGAATGAGAATATGTTGGAAGAAAGACATAGTCCCAGACCTCTTGGAACTTGACGTCTGGTAGCTTTTCCATGAAAACAGAATTTTATTTATTTAACTGACTTTTTATTTCTCTTGGTTAAAAGTCTCAAGGCTCCCTAAGTTTATAAGTGTGGACATATTCTGCAGTGTCACTATGGAGCACAGAGGAACTTTCTGCTTTCACCCCTGTAAGAGATATACTGTGATAAATACACATTTGACATTGTAATTTTGCTGCAGTTGAACCTGCTCTTACCCATCTTCAGTCACTGCAGAGACCAAAGTATTGGCCCATCTCATGGAGATGCTTGTCCTTCACCATCCTCCCTCGTCATGAGCTTTTCTCCATAAGTAGGGTGTCAGCCACACACACCCATGTCATCCACCAGTGGGACCTGGGGACAGTGGAGGGGGGACTCCTCTAGGGCATCTGTGCATGAGAACACTAGGAAGACAAGGATCCTTGGGAGGACAGGGCTTGGATAAGGGAAATGTATTTGCAAATATCAATTAGAAAAGTAAATCAGTCTTTGAGAAAGATGAAGTTAGCCACTTATCTTGGCTTCCTTGTTTCACTTTTCATTCATGCTCACACTTCCCTTCTTCTCAGCTCAAGACTTTCTGTATTTCCTCTTTTAAGTTTATTTATGTATTTGTTGAAAATATACATATCAAAATATACACCAATTTAACAGTTTCTACAGGTACAGTTCAGTGACATTCTTTAAGTTGCACAACCATTGTTACTGTCTTTTTCCAAATTATTCCTCCATCATTAACATAAACTAACTGGCCCCTAAGCTTCTCATCTAACCTGTTGAGTTGCTGTTGTCAGTTTGGTGCCGTATAGATAGATCTTAAAAGAGTACAATGGTCAAGGCAGACATTCTTTACTAATTAAGCTAAGTTACTGTTTGGTTTAAAAAAGACTTCAGGGGATAGTTCCTATTTAAGGTTTAAAGATTATCTTAGTGCAGTAGTTTGGAGAGTTCATCCAGCCTCAGTGGCTCCAGAAAGTCTAGATTCCATGAGAATTTGAAACTCTTACTTGCATTTTTCCCACTTTTGATCAAGATTCTTCTACAGAATCTTTGATCAAAATGTTCAGTAATGGTAGCTGGGCACCATTCAGTTCTTCTGGACTCATGGCAAGGGAGGCAGGCAGTTGTTCATGGCAGCAACTAAGCACAGATTGCATTTTTGCCTCCTATTCTTGACTCTCCTTTCTCTGCTGCTCCAGGCACATAGAGAGTAGTTGTTGTACCATGGATGGCTGCTTGCAAGCTTTTAAGAATCCAGACACTGCACAACAAACTAGGAGGCAGGACAGAAGCACTAAAAATATATTAGGCCAATTAACTGGGATATCCAATGAAACCACGATCCTAAAGCTTCAAACCATGAGATGTTGATTGTATGTATATAAGCAGCATCAACAGCTACTCTTTTGTTGTGACAATATATATGACACAACATTTGCCAGTTCAGCATTTATTAGGTGTACATCTTAGTGATATCAATTACATTAATCTGTTGTGCAACCATTACTCTTAATAATCAGTGCCAACTTTCCCATCATCATAAACAGAAACTCATTGCACTCTAAACAATGGCTGCCCTTCTCTCCCTGCCTACCACCCTGGTAGCCACTAACAAACTTTGGTCCCTATACATTTGCCTAATCTTGTCATTTTATATAAATGAGATCATACAATATTTGTCCTTTTGTGGTTGACTTATTTCTCAGCATAATGTTCTCAACATAGCACTGCTTCCTTTCTCTTTATGGCTAAGTGATATTCCACTGTGTGGACGGACCATATTTTGTTTATCCTTTTGTCCTTTGATGATATTTACTTTTCATCTTTTGACTATTGTGAATAGTGCTGCGGTGAACATTGGTGTACATATGTCTGTTTGCTGCTTTTAAGTCCCTTGAGTATAAACCTAGGAATGGAATTGCTGAGTCATATGGTAGTTCTAGTTTTAGTTTTTTGAGTAATCTCCATAATGTTTTCTACAACTGTCTGTACCATTTTGCACTCCCTCTAGCAATGGATAAGCGTTCTAATTTTCCACATCCTCATCACACTTGCTGTTTTCCTTTCTTAATCTTGCCATCCTAGTGGAATATAATGGTATCTCATTGTGGGTTTTTTTTTTAAATTTATTTTTATTTTTCATTGTGTTTTAGGTGAAAGTTTACAGAGCAAAGTAGTTTCTCGTTAAACAAGTATTACACATATTGTTTTGGGCCATTGGTTGCCAACCCCATGACGTGTCAACACTCTCCTCTTCTGGATCTTGGGTTCCCCATTGCCATTCGTCCAGCTTTCCTGTCCTCTCCTGCCTTCTTGTCCTTGCCCCTGGGCTGGTATGCCCATTTAGTCTTGTATACATGATTGAGCTGTATGTATTATTGTTTGTTTTATGGGCCTGTCTAATCTTTGGCTGAAGGGTGAACCTCAGGAGTGACTTCAGTACTGAGTTAAAAGGGTATCAGGGGTGATTCTTGTTGTGGTTTTGATTTGCATTTCTCTGATGAGCATCTCTTCATGTACTTGTTGGCCTTTTGAATATCCTGTTTGGTAAAATGTCTATTCAAGTCCTTTGACTGTTCTTTGATTGGGTTATTTTTTTTTTGTTGTTGTTTAGTGGCATAAGTTATATATATATATGTAATTTGGATGTTACTTTTATCAGATATATGGTTCCCGAAGATATTCTTCCAGTCTGTAGGTTGTCTTGTCACTTTTTTGATGAAGTCCTTTGATGAACAAAATTACTAATTTTTATGATGTCTCTTTTATCTGTTTTGATTTTTGCTGTTTGTACTTTTGTTATTGTATCAGATAATCCATTCTTAGGCTAGGCTCAACAGTTACGCCCCTGTATTTTCTTCTAAGAATTTTATGGTTTTAGTTTTTACATTTCCTTCTCAGAAGAATACTTTCTGTATTTCCTCTTTTAAAGTTAGCATTTGTGCATATCCATTTTGCTCAGTTCCTCCCTACTTTGCTTTTCTGATAATATGATGTCAACATTAGTCTCTGTTTGGAAGTATTTCTTAGTAGAAGGAGACGCTGGGTGGTGCAAATGGTCAGCACACTTGGCTGCATTCAAGTCTATCCAGAAGCAGCATCAAGTCCATCCAGTTACTCATTTATTAAGAAAGGCCTGCTGATCTACTTCGTAGCAGATAAACTACCATTTTGACCCGTGTTCCCTATGATTGCCAAAGTCCTCAGAGTCTTTGCAAGGACTGCACTAAAAGGGCAGAGTGGGCATTCCACACCTTTATCATTGTCAAGGTTCAGCATGAATCTAGTTCCCAGCTGGAAATGGATCCAGGTCTCACCTTCCCACATCTTCGTTCCTCAGCTCCAGCCACTTTCATGGCACTGCCTCTCCGACCTGATTACCCAGAATTGGATCAGACCTCATTCCCGGTCACCCTAGTTGGGCCAAAACATCCCAGGCTACCTGGGGCAAGGTCGTCAGAGACCAGCTGTAGGTTCAGGAGTCCGTACAGCTCCCTGCACTTCAGACCAGCCAGTCTCCCTCACTTTCTAGTCCCCTGGGACTAGGTCACAAGCTAGAAGGACTCTGTCCTTCTTCATCGACTGCCCATGCAGCCTTTCCCTCACTACCAGCCACCCAGAACTGGGTCCACACAAATTGTCCTTCCAGTCGTTGCTGGCTCATTGCCCCTGTGGGTTTGTTAATTCTGTGTAATGGCTCAGAAAATTCATGGAGACTATTGCTTATACCTAATAGTTACCCATTTATTATAACCAAAAAGGATACAAGTGAAGAGATGCATTAGGCAAGGTCTGGGAGAGGTCGTGGCATGAGGCTTCCATTGCCCCCAAGGACATGCTGCACCCTCTCCCATGCATGAATGTTCTCACCAATTCAGAAGCCCCAAAGAGGACGGTCCAAGGTCCCTTAGTCATTGGGACCTCAGTGAATATACATGATTAATTGCATCATGTCCTCCTCCCATCCTGAAGTTAGTTAGCCAGGCGTGGGGCCACTGTAGCTCCTACTGTACCTGCCTGGCTATTTTGGAAAACAAAGACATCTTGATTGCTCAGGTTATTTTCAGAAACCAGAGACAAGCAACCAAACTGAGTTCTTTGTCCCATAGTCTTCCTTTGCTCTCATGCTCATAATTCCTTATAATATTTGTTTCATTTCTGGATCAGTATATGGAAATAAATCCACATGGTCTGTTTTCTTTCCTTTAACCATCGTTTTTATCTCCATGAAATTAAACTGTTTTATTAATTTTTGCAGATAGTTGTACTCAAGTTAAAACCAGTGGATCAAGTCCTCAGCAGGGTATTTTTGGGAATGAAATATTCAATGGAGAGAAAATAATAAGTTTCATAAGAAGTGATTCCTGGTCAAATTTGGAAGAAAAGGGGAATGTTCATAACATTGAAGATTACCCCCAAATCCAGAAGAAGCGTTCGAGGTGAGTGACACTGGCACAACAGGAAGGAGTATCCTAGCAGAGTGTTAGACTATATTAAAATTACAGAAAAAGTATAGATGTAGCTAAACAATTGTGTACACACAGAATTTTTACATGACAATGTTTTTGTAAATGTAACGTAGATATTGAGGGTCTGAAACATAATTCAGTTGGAAACAATGGTCAGGAAACCCCACAGTGAGAAAGAGTTTGAAAGCAATGGCTTTATTCAAGCCCTCAGCCAAGCATTCAGATTGTTCCACATCGACAGAGTACAGACAGTGCAGAAAACATTTGCATTCACTGAGAATGTGAAATATGTAGTCATACTAATCATTCACTTGCCTCTCATCTTTAGGGAACGTGTGAACAGTCACAGAGGACAGAAAATCCCTGCATGTGAAATATGTGGGAAAATCTTTATGCATTTGTCTTCCCTTAAACTACATTTAAGACGGCACAGTGGAGAGAAACCCTATGAATGTAAGGAATGTGGGAAAGCCTTCAGTTGTCCTACATACTTTCGAGAACATGTGAGAATGCACACTGGAGAGAAACCCTATGAATGTAAGTACTGTTGGAGAGCCTTCAATTTTTACTCATCCCTTCAAGAACATGAGAGAACGCACACTGGAGAGAAACCTTATAAATGTAAGCAGTGTGGAAAAGCCTTCACTAGTTATTCTGCCCTTCATGGACATGAGAAAACGCACAGTGAACAGAAACCTTATGAATGTAAGCAATGTGGCAAAAGTTTCCGTTGTCCCAAATATTTTCGACAACATGTGAACATGCACAGTGAAGAGAAAATTTATGAATGTAAGGAATGTGGGAAAGTCTACAGTATGCCTGCAAACCTTCGACAACATATGAAAACGCACAGTGATGAAAGACCGTATGAATGTAAACAATGTGGGAAAACCTTCAGATGGCCTACCTCCTTAAGAAACCATATGAAAATGCACTCGAGCGAGAAACCCTATGAATGTAAGCCATGTGGAAAAGCCTACAGGTGTCTCATATCTCTTCAAGAACATCTGAGAAGACACACTGAAGAGAAACCCTATGAATGTTACCAGTGCGGGAAAGTCTATAAATATTTCAAATACTTTGACATGCATATGAAAATGCACAGTGGAGAGACACAGTATGTATGTAAGGAATGAGGGAAGCCTTAAGAATACAAGGCATGTTAGGAAACCTGTAAAATGGGACTAGTAGTAGTGTTAGTACCTGTGTAACTTAATGGGGAATAATGAGAATCACCATCAGCAAGAAGCTGATTCCCATGAGGTAGAGATCAGACATACATCCATTGCCCAACCTTTTTACCAATTCTGACACCATCTGTCCCTGCCATGGCACTCTACTTCTCTGCTGGGTTTGACAATCCGTTGCAGTGGCCACACAGAACTCAAGAGACCATACTTACACTTCAGTGATTTATTAAGGAACAGGGTACAAGTCGGTATCAGGATCAGGAAGCATGTAGGATGAGTCTCCCTTCACTGCAGGACAGCTCTCTTCAGCTCCTTTCAACCGTGCAGGATTCCTCTTGGCCCTGCCATCTGTTGCTGCCTTTGCCACTGGACCCCTTCTGGACCTCTTGCTGTCTTCAGTGTTAGAGCCCTTGACCAGAATTAGAGCTTTTTAGGAGATTCCTTGCCTCCTCTTTTTTTCTCTCTCTGTCTGTCTTCTCTCTTCCTTCTACTTCTCGTTTTTTTTCTGTCTCTGAAAAAAACTTCTGTTGCGCTGGCTGCATCTATATACACAGTTCTTTGTCAATTTCAAGGCATGACCCCTCTCAGTGGGGGACCACAAACTGACCAATCCCCTCTCGGTAGGTCGCAGACACTTCATTTGCATAGTATGCACAGCTAGGCTACAACTCACTTCATTGGCATTGTTGACTAATCCCTGCAAGGTGCATACCAATCACATGGCAGGCTGTAGCTCAGGACCAGGCAAAAGGTAGCAAACCAAGTTGTTTACCGCTTACTCAGGAAATGTCAATCAACCCAGCAAAAGCAACAAACCCTCTGGGATAGAAAACTAGGGCAAAGGTAACTCTTCAGGGCTTAGGGGGAAAGTCGATCTGTTTTTCCAAAGAACCAAGGCAAAAGGCCACTTGAAGGAACTCCTTTCACCACAACTGTCATTGTAGGTAAGGTTGGGAACAACATCTCCCAGAGTCTCTTCTGTTTATGTTTCCGGGTTCACGAGGTGAGGAAGGTGCATGGGTGTTGTAAGGCAGAAGTGAAGAAGCCATTTCTTTCCATTCTGCTGGGCCATCAGGATTGAGAGATGTGTAGGAACCCAGTAGCCTAGGTCACAGCTCATCTTTGATGTCCGGCTTTGTCACTCAAGAATAGTTCAAACCACATACCGCGTGTTTGACGTGTTAGCAGCCCTTCAGAATAGAGACGTTCAGAGAGACAGCCCACACTAATGGGTTAACATGAACAACTCTGAAGTAAGCAAGGGGTGCAAATGAAATGCGTGGTTGTTCTCAGAAAGTATAAGAATGTTCCAGGAAGTGTATGTCAAAAATATTCTTGGAAAGTGCTTGCACCAACTGTTCTCAGAAGCCTCTGTATATATGAACAGATTAAGAAGAAACTGTTGTTGGTCACAGTCATGCTGGAATTTATATATAAAAATGTTACCTGATTGAGGTCTGTGCTCTGGAGCAGTTGAGCCAATGAAACGTACTCCAAGTCAGAGAAAGTTTATTAGGAGGTGACACCAATGGGGCGTCCGACAGCAACGCAGTCTGTCTTTATGGAATCCTGAAAAGCAATTTCTGTGACAGAGTTTATATATCATTTTGGCAAGGATTACCTAGTGTTTTCAAGCACGTAGCCCACAGATAGTCGGATGAATATATATCACAAAACAACTACAAGATACTGTTAAACTAAAGATATGCATGCTGGACATCTGGACTCTAATCTTTATGTTTGTAACAGGCAAAAAAAACTTACATAAAAATCTCTTGGCTAGTGGAACTGGCCTGCCAAGTTTACTCTGACCGAGATAAGGAGCAATAAAGAAAGTCAAGCTCTCAGCCGTTTTGAAAAGGAGAAAACATGCTGTGAGGTATTAGGGTCACAAAAACCCTCTCCTTCCTCATGTACTTTGGAGCACTTTGTATGTTTTACATTGTGCTGCCCAGCTATCCAGCTGTAGCTGTTCTATTCCTCAATAAAACTCTTTTGTTCCACTCTTCACAGAGTAAAGTATTTTTGCTCTATGCAGACTTTAGTTTTCTCCTAGGCAGCAGCTTCCACAGGCTTTTCCAGAAGCTCCTCCATCAGGGACCTTCTTTAGTGTTCAGGTACACACTGCTTCAGGCTGCTCTGTTATCCTCTGACCCTCTTCATCTCAGACTCTTTAATGTTGTGATTTCTGTTGTAAACACTTGTTCCTGCAATAGTATTTCTGTTCCCTGATTCCATCCTGACAGATTTAATGCTGCCGCCAAGAATGCAGGAAACACAGTTCCCTGATGGCTTTATTAAGAGGCTGTACTGACCATGAAATTATTGTTTTTGACATCTCCGTGATCAGAATAATCACTTGAAATAAGTTTGGCAAATCGTAGGTGTTTTCTGTTACAACTGAATTTCATCCATAACCAATAAATCTACCATATTTAATTATTTTCATTTTTACATGTGATTACCTAGTGTTTAATTCTTTTCATTTTTTTATATGCGATAGAAAACAATTAACATTTTTCATCAGACATGCTTCTGTGTTTCTTAGAAAATCTTGGGTTTTAAGATCTGTTGTATAGTTACAAATGTCAATATTATGTTTTATGTTTCATTAACTGAGATATGTTGAAATATTCTATTCTGATTTCTTAGTTACATGCATCAAGTCAATTCCTACTGATAGTGACCCTATGTACAACAAAACGAAACACTCCCCAGCCCTGTGCCATCCTCGTAATTGTTGCTATGTTTAAGCCCATTGTTGCAGCCACTGCGTCAATCCATTTTGTTGAGGGTCTTCCTCTTTTTCACTGACCATCTGCTTTACCAAGCATGATGTCCTTCTGTAGGGACTGGCCCCTCCCGATCACTTGCTTCTTCCAAGACAGATTTGTTCATTTTTCTGGCAGTCCATGGTATATTCAGTATTCACCAACACCGTAATTCAAAGGCATCAATTATTTGGTCTTCCTTCATCATTGTCCAGTTTTCGCATGCATTTGAGGCAATTGAAAACACTGTGGCTTGGGTCAGGCACACCTTAGTCTTTAAGGTGACATCTTTGCTTTTTAACACCTTAAAAAGATGTTTTGCAGTAGATTTGCCCAGTGCAATACGTCGTTTAATTTCTTGACCGATGCTTCCATGGACATTGAGGATCCAAGTAAAATGAAATCCTTGACAACCTCAATCTTTTCTACGTTTATCATAATGTTGCTTATTGGTCCAGTTGTGAGGATTTTTGTTTTCTTTATGTTGAGGTGTAATCCTTACTGAAGGCTGTAGTCTTTGATCTTCATCAGTAACTGCTTTAAGTCTTCACTTTCAGCAAGAAGATTGTGTTATCGGCATAACACAGGTTATTAATAAGTGTTCCAATCCTGATGCCATGCTCTTCATAGTCCAGCTTCTTGGATTATTCACTCAGCATAGAGATTGAATAAGTATGGTGAAAGGATACAACCCTGACACATACCTTTCCTGACTTTAAACCACACAGTAGTTTAAAAATAGTGATTTTTAAAACGCTATTCTGATTATGGATTGTTAATTCATCCTTGTGATTATTTCCGTTTTTCTTTATATGTTCTGAGGTGTTCTTTCTGATGTGTTTTTCTTTAATTTCTATATTGCTACCATCTTTTTCCATGAAAATGACTTTTTATTCATTGCTAATAATGAAAATCTAAATATTACTCATGTCAATGCCCTCCAGCCAAAGAACACCAGGAACACAGCTATTATGGTCAGAGTTGAGACTCCCGACTTACTGCAAAGGCAGAAAGCACATGTCTTGAGGTGACCTTGAGTGTCTCAGAAGGAGGGACTTGTAAGATTTGGGAGTGTGTGTAGACAGTTTGGGGAAGGTACAAAAAATGATAGCTTCCACTGGCTTCGAAGCAGTCAGAAAAGGTGGGTAATTCTATGATTGGGAAATTTAGTAATTTGTATCTACAACATTAGAAAAATAGACTGAAGCTGCATGAGTCACAATTGACTTGACAGCAAGTGGTTAATGGCGACTCATGGAGTTTCAGTCTGTCCAACATTATAGATAGCTGTCACTGGAAAGATGCAGCAGTCACCCCTGTTGGCCAGGGTAGAAGTTGGTGGGTCTTTTTCGTGCTTTGGATGATATCCTTGTTTATCTGCTCAGATTGTTATGGAGTGGCCTTGCTTTTGTCTTGACCCATCATGGTCACAGAGTAGCCTTGTCTCATACTAGTGTTTCATGAATCCATTTGTGTTAAACAGGATAACGCTTTGTCTTCCTGTGACTGCATGGCCAGCTCCTAGCAATGCCAAGGTCAAGCTGTTAGGATCATGCCAGGTCCCATTTGTCAAGGTTGTTTTCTTTTTCTTTTTTTAATAATACTGTGTTTTAAGTGAAAGTTTACACAACAGAGTAGGTTCTTATTCAACAGTTACTACACAAATTGGTTAGTGATCTTGGTTACATCCTTTACAATGTGTGAACATTCTCATTTTGATTGTTTCATGGTACCCTTCTCATCTTTGAGAGTAATTGTTGATCATTTGTTCTCATATAGATGATTTTTTAAGGGAATGCAATACTCTTGATTGATATTATTTATTTGGTGACCCAATCTGTTATTTAGCTAAAAGGTGACCTCAGGATAGTTTTGGATCAAGGTTTGAAGAGTATCTCAGGGTAATAGAAGATCTCAGGGAATCCTCTACTCTCTGTCCAATAAGTCTGGACTTTTCAAGAATTTGTGGTTTTGTTCCACATTTTTCTCCCATTCTATCAGGATCCTTCTGTTGTGGCCTTGAGCAAAATGATCGGTAGTGCTAGTCGGATACCATCTAGTTCTTCTGGTTTCAGGGTAGATGAGGCCGTGGTTCGTGTAGACAGTTATGTAGACTAGTTTCTTCTATGAGTCTTGTGTTTCCTTCTTTCTCTTGCTCTGGACGAGTAGAGGCCAATGGTTGTATCTTAGCTGATCACAAGCTTTTAAGACACCAGAGTAGTGACCTTGGTTACTCGGATGTAGAAGATGAACTTTATGAACTATATCATGCCAATTGACTAGGGTGTCCCATGAGACT